CCACAAGAGCTACTTGATACTTAAAAGGATGAAATTTGACATTTGTTTTAGGCCTTAAATTTAAAAGAAATTATTTTATTTGTTGTGTTCGAAATTGTAGTTACAAACAGAAATGATTTTTTCCTAAAACTTAATTTACCTTAAATTTTAAATACTATCATTAGGTAAGAGTGTTGAATAATAATAAGAATAAAATATAATAGAGGTCCTAAAATAGATCTTTGAGGAATACCTAAGTTTATTATTTCTTCGTAAGTAAAAACAATTTTATATAAATAGGATTTAAATAGACTAACTATTTTGGTTATGAATTTAAAAAAATCTTTGATAGCATGAAACTGTTAATTTATAATAAAATACTATCATCAGGTAGAGTTTTGGATAATGATAAGAATAAAATAAAATCGAGGTCTTAAAAGTGATCCTCGAGGAACACCTAATTTTATTATTTTTTTGTAAGTAAATTCACTTTTACATAAATAGTATCTTTTAAATAGTCCAATTGCATCATTTTTATATACTATCTTGTTAATTTAATGAGAAGAATTTTGTGAAAAATTTTATACCATGGTTTTCCAACGTGAGGGTTAAGACCAGCAAAAGTCCATTTGATTTCTAAAGGCACACTATTTAAAATTTTTGTGAGCCTTCTATTTCGGTTAAAATTGTAAAAAAAATGCATTAAACTGAAATGATTTCTTCCTAAAATTTTACTTACCTTTTTGCTTTTATTTATTTATAATAAAATACTATTATCATGTAAAAATTTTGGATAATACTAAGAATAAAATAAAATCGAGGTCCTAAAATCGATCCTTGAGGAACACCTAATTTTATTATTTCTTCATAAGTAAACACTTTTACTTACTTAATAGGATTTAAGACCACTGAATCTTTTTTGAATACTAAATTTTGTTAATTTATCAAGAAAATGTTTGTGAAAACTACAAGAAAAATATTTTATACCAGTATTTTTTAACTTGAGGCTCAAGGTCCAGAAAGTCAATTTGATTTTTGAGAGGATACAAATTAAAAATTTAAGTTAAATAAATTTTTATTATTTTATTATTTGTGTTATGTTATTATTATAAAATGATACACATAAGCTTTTATTCTAATGGTAATATATATTTAAGCTATATTTAGAAATCTTGAATGTATAAAAAAATAAAAATGGTCTTAAAATCGATCCTTGTGGAACTCCCAATTTAATGTTTGTTCTTTCAAAATTATTCATTTATGTTATTCTTTTAAAAAAATAGACAAATGGGATTTAAACAGCCTTAGAAAAAGTTCTTGAATTTTCGGATTTATCAAGAAGTAATTTGTGAGTACATCAAGTGCTTTAGATCAGTGTTTTCCAACGTTGGGGTCACTTGAAAATACTCAATATGAATTTAATTTTAATTTCAAGTTATTTAAATGCAATGCCAAATTTTGGTGGTAAATTTAATAAAAAAATAATTTGAATTTAAGTTTTTTTATTATGTTATAAATAATAATGTGTCACATTTTGTATTTTCTTATTATTTTTGTGCAAATCATGCCTTATTCAAAAGATTTGATTTTTATTTACTAAACTAGGAATCGAACGAGAAGTATTATTACTATATATACATTTCTGTGTCATTTATCTTCACTGTATGTTAAATACGCACATAACTAGTACTTTTATAATAAATATGAAAAATGTTTTAAATAAATATTTGCAATGAGCAAACTGTACACTTGTAACAATATTTGTACGATGAATGCTCAGAGATAAAATACTTTAACAAATAAATTTGTAAAATTTAACAGAAAATAGAAAAAAAAAACAGTGAAGGACTTAAAAAAATCTTAAACGATCTTTAATAGTATAAAATTCGCTATATGTGGAAGATATACAAGATAAATCTTTTGTTTGAAAAATAATTAGTTCCCAATTTTGTCATTTGTTCATACGAAACTTCACATTCACCAACAAGATCTTTTAATATTATTATTATTGCAAAGGGCACAAATTGACAAAAAAAAACATTAATAATAATATTTTTCCTTTCTTATCCATTTTTTCTTACAGATCTAGATTTTAAATTAGAATTCACACTCACATAAGCTTACCTATCTGTTTTTATTTATAATTTTATAATCGTAGTTTTTGTTAGAATCTTGTTAATTTTATATATGTAATTTTTGTCTGATTTTTACAATTTTTTTTTATTTTTTTCAGACCGAAATAGCAAAACGTCTAAGCGGTTTATTAGGACAAGTTCTGCCTTATTTGACGCAGGAACATCAGCAGCCAGTTGCTGCTGCAGTAGAAAGGGCGAAGCAAGTTACTATGCCGGAATTGAATGCCATAATTGGGGTAAGTAGATAAAAAAATTGAAAAAAATATTGGTAAAATTAAGATGATATTTTAAGTATTAGAATGTAGGAAAACAAATATTCCTCGTGTTAATTTTATCTCTTAAATTAAAAAAAATGAAACACTTACAAATAGATATACAAAAGCAGGTCAGAGTTTTTCTCAGTGTTTTTGGTGATAAATTTTTCAAAAACTGTTTTTTGGTAGTATCTAGAATAAATTTTTTCATGTATGTATATTTCTATTATGTAAGTATTATTATTCTTTAATTATTTGCAGCAACAGCAACAACAGGGTTTACAACAATTAATAGTAAGTCCAATAAACAAATCTGATTGTTAAAATGCTGAATTGATTTGCACAATTTACCTTGAGGGAAAAATAACAAAATACATTTGTTAAAAAAATAAAATTCCCGAAACAAAATTGCGTAAAAATTGAATTGTTGTGAACATTTTTAGAAATTATTCTATAACGTTATAAAATGAATTATCATTTAAAATAAGTTTTATTTTATTAATATATTATTTGTTCGCATACTGAAATCATTTGATTTTACAAAATGTGGCTAAAAATAATATTTCGGTTTTTTAGAAACTTTTTCTAGTATTTTTGATATTTTTTAACCGAATAATTAAATTATAAATTATAGTAAATTATATTATTTACTTTTGGTTCTAATTTATTTCCACTTTTCATTTTTATCATCATTTTTATCTTCTAAAAAATTACTAATTTATTTTTAACATCTAACATATGTTTTTTTGAACTCTAATAAGTTTTATTTTAATTTTTAATTTTCTTCAATTTATATTCTTAATAATTTAATTAATTTTTATTATTCAACATATTCTAATTGGTTTTCTAGAGTTTTTTTTACAAACTTCTCTACTTTTTTCCCCGAGGATAAATTTTGCAATAAATTGTGCAAAAGGCAATTAACACCGTTTTTATGCTTCTATATGTGCAAAATTTTTAAAAACACATTTTTTTTATCAAATTTTTTTTAATAATAATATATGTGTAATTAAATGCTTTTTTAGTCTTTGGAATTGATGAATTTTAATATTTTGTAGATTTTAATAATTTATTATGGGTTTCTTGCATTGTAAATAAAATGATAAATATAAATAAATAAATACACATATATATATATATATATATATATATATATATATAATATATTATTATTTTTACTGTTACTTTTGCTTTTGGTGTATTTTATTGCTGTTTTTCACACAAAAATCTTGCAAAATGATATTTTATACACAATAGTGACTACAGACGAAACCAAATCTAAAGTTTATTACATTAGACTCTATTTTTTTTAATTAGAGTGAAGTTGATGTTTCTGCTGTTATTTCAATAGACTTTTATTTATTAAATACAAATCTTTGATATTTTTCATAAAATTATAAACATTTCTTCTTAAACAAATTCTTGCAATATAATATTTTAAATACATGGACGATAATAATATAATTTTTTTTAAAAATTAGAGTAAAGTTAAATTTTTTGCTAAATTTTTAATTGAGAATTTTAATAATATGTTACAAATCTGTGATATTTTTCTTAAAATAATCAAATGTTTATTTAAACATTTTTTTTAAACAAATTCTTGCAATATAATATTTTAAAGACTATAGTGTCAATAGACAAAATAAATCTAAACTAGCTGTAAGTGGAATTCTGTCTTGAGGCAATTATGGCATCGTGCCTTAAGGCAAATTGCTGAAACTTCCCGTACCGTAACGAAATGTTTGAGGAATATTGAATGTTTTCAAATAGATTATTATAAATATTGTAACATTGTCTAATATTTATAAGAATTATATAAACTGAATTGCAGAGTTGAAATTATTTGTAAAGTATATTAGAACTATAGTCAGAATTAAAATAAAATCTGAAATATTCGATATACAAAAAACTACAAAAAAAAAAAAAAAAAAAAATGGAACAAATTTTTTTTCCAAAATCAATTATTTTGTTAAGACAAGCAGAAAGTTCTTTGAATCATTTAAATCGGACGCTTAGTTCTCTCAAAAACTGCCATTTTTTACATATTTAGCTCCATATCTTCGAAATGGCTGGGTCTGCCTTTGCCAAAAACTAATAGACGCTTCTCCCAATCATTACTAATTGAATGTTTTTTAGATCATTCCAATCGGATACTCCTCTCTCTCAAAAATTCGATTTCTATTTTCTGCACTCTTTGCTCCGTATCTCCGAAACGGCTAGACCTGCCTTTGCCAAAAACTAATCAGCTCTTTTCCCTATCAATAGGAATCGAATGTTTTTTGAACCATTCAAATCGGTTGATCCGTACGCCCGAAACGTGGACGAAAATTTGTATCCATACATACATACACACACACACACACACACACACACACATCCATTTTTTCTGAAGTATGCCAAAACGTTCAGAAACCTTCAAAACGTCGAGAAATGTAAAAATTTTCAATTCCGATTTTCGGCCCATTACAATAACTTACCCTACGGGAAGTTAATAATAAATAAATCTAAATCTAATAATTTATATCAAAGTCTCTAAATTTTGTTATATCAGACTCCAATTTTTTTAATTGGAGTAAAGTTGAATTTTTTGCTATAATTTCAATAGACTTTTATTTATAAAATACAAATTTTTGACATTTTTCATAAAATAATAAAACTTTAGGTAAATTTATCTTCTCAAACAAAATAAGTTATTTATTAATTTCATTAATAAATGGAATTTTTAGAATTTTCATTCATAACTATAAAATTTTACTACTAAAATCTTATTTTTATTCATATTTAATTTTTGCAATATGTGTAAAAAATCTACTTAATAAAAAATATTTGAAATTTAGTTATTTACATGAAATTATATATATATTTTATTATATAAGTTAATTCTTTTTGACGAGAATCTTTAATTTATTTTCTGCTAATATTTTTACATTTTGGGCATCCTTGATAATATATATTTAGGGTGGTCCTCAATATGGATATTAACGAATTTTTTTGTTACTAGGGTCTCAAATGCTTTCAAATTGTTAGAAATAAATTATCTGAAAGTTTCAGCTCTTAATATTAACTGTTAGATAGTCCGCAATTTAATCAAAGTTTCTTAAGGAAATAACATGGGTAAAATTTCATTTGTTTTTATATAATTTTATAACATAGTAGCGAGCGAATCAAAATTTTGAATTTTAAGAATAACATTGTATTTGCTTCTTTTGACCATAAATTAAAAAACTTACAACAAAATTTTGATATATTTTAGAAAATAAGTATCTACTTAGGAACAGAACCATGAAAATTTGGTTTGAGTGCGGACTATGTTAGAATTAATATTAAGACTGACTACTTTCAGTGATTTTTTTAAACATTTTGGAAACATTTCTAGGAGCAAAGAAATTCAAAAAAAAAATCCACCTACTAATCAAAATCAACCTTTTAGGACCACCCTAATCAAAATTAACAATACATGCAAGAAACCTTTTTCACATTTCTTATAATCCAATCATATGCATACATGTCTGTCACCATCATATATTTCCTTAGGCCTATATATAATATTTATACATTTTTGTTTTGCACATTAATATATAAAAAAAAATCTAAATGCTTGTTTAAAATTTACCATCACTTCTTCATCTTCATCTCAATGTCTTCCACCTGATGTCTGTAATGTCCAACCATGTTGTTAAATGTTATGTGTTGTTGTATGTAACGCTGTTGTTCCTGTTTAGTAATAATTGTTGTCACTAATTATATAAAACAAAATATATACACAATAAATTAATCAACTTAAATCTATCTTTTACCAGCAACAAATCCATGCCCAGCAGCAAATTCCGGGCGCAGGTCACGCGGCGGCTCATCCTTTGGCTGGTTTGGCGGCTTTCGGAGGCGCCATGGTCCCTGGAGGCCCCTTAGGGCCACTCGGGCCCTTGGTAGGGGCTCCTCCGACCGGAGGGCCGCCTCAGGGGATGCTGGGAGCGCCTCACGTGAAGCGAGAGGAAAGGGTCGATCGCGACCGGGAAAGGGACAGGGAGAGGGAACGGGAACGGGAGCGAGAGAGAGAGCGCGATCGGGGCGAGAGGGACGAGAAACCTGTTATTGATGATAGACTGGTAAGGGGATGGCTAGCATATATATATATATATATATATTATATATATGTATATATATATTAATATATATATATATATATATATGTATTCAATGATAAGTCCTGGATTTTTTCAATATATTGATTGTTTCTTTTCCGAACAGTAAATCCAATAATAAAAAACAATTTGTTTTTTGAAGATGTTTAATACGACGTTTCGAAACTAGGTACGTTCCATCATCAGGTTTATTCTATCAAATACAATGTCTTTTAAAAATATTGATTAACATTAATTAATGATGGTCAATACAGATTAATTAGAAAAAAATGTTTATAAAGGAATGGATTATGTACCGGGGTAAAGAGTAATAAGAACTAACTAAAAAAGGTTTTATATAAAATTGAGAAGCAAAAATTATTTACCTGTAATAATTTATATATCCATATCACTAATATTTTTTTGTTAAAAACACTCGATTTTTTGGAGGATATTTGTAGATGTTACGACTACACAAGACTTAAACACACTGATATGGATTTCTGTCGGCCAGATGTAGGACAAAAATGATTTTTTATGGCTCTTGTATTGGTAATTTACGAAAAAAGAGGAAATATTGCTTTAGTAAATGTTGAGAAATATTATGTATATATATACATGCACATGCATATGCACACCTACATACACATAAATGCATATACTCATATATACATATGCATATATCCATATATTCATGTCCATACAATAATATACACGAACAAATAAGCAAAAATCATTGTTTTTGACAGAATAAACCTGATGATGGAACGTACCTAGTTCCGAAACATCGTTATTAAGCATCTTCAAAAAACCAATTGTTTTTTATTATTGGATTTACTGTTCGGAAAAGAAACAATCAATATATATATATATATATATATATATATATATATATACATATATATATTTATAAATATATTAGGGTGGTCCTTAATATGGACATTTTCGAATTTCCTTGCTCCCAGGGGCTCAAATGGTTCCAAATTGATAAAAAACAATTCTCTGAAAGTTTTAGCTCTTAATATTAACGTTTAGATAGAGCGCAAGAAACTTTAAACCAACGTCGATTATGATTACACAACAATTATTAGAAAAAAAATTGTCTCACAACAGTTTCCAAATTAAATCTACTTCTGGTCTCGGGTAGATTATGAAAAACAAGTTAGTTTTGTTCAAATGGTGTCTAATCGAATTAAACAATTTTATAAAATTAAGAGACTGAGGACAAGTTTAAGAAACTTTAGCCAAAATTTTATTATTCTATTTTGGTAACTCAACAGGTGTCAGAAAAAAAAATGGTGCAACAGTTTCTTAACTAAATCTACTTCTGTTCTAGTAATGGTCAAGAAGATCAAGGTAAATATGTCTAGATGGTAATTGGTTAAATGACCAGAAGTAGATTTAATTTGTAAATTTGCACCAAAGTTTTTTCTAATATATGTTGTGTTACCAAAGGCTTGAAGTTTCTTAAACTTGTCATAATTTTCCTTATTTTATAAAATTATTTAATATATTTAGACAACATTGGACTGATCTAACTTGATCTTTCTGACCATCAAGAGACCAGAAGTAAATTTAGTTTAGAGACTGTTGCACCAAATTTTTTTCCAACACCTGTTCTTACTAAAATCGATGTTGGCTTAAAGTTTCTTAAGCTTGTCGTCGGTTTTTTAATTTTATAAAATTGTTTCATGAATTTAGACGCCATTGGACTGATCTAACTTAATATTCCTGACCATTACTAGAATAGAAATAAATTTAATTTGGTTAAACTGTTGCATCAAATTACCTTCTAGCTTTTTTTTATAAATCCAGCAGATTTTTTTTTTATTTTTTTTTTGCATAGTTTTATTGTCAATCAAAATAATATACATTTAGCAGATTAATTTACATTTAATTATAATAATGAATTCTAATAAATTATTTTATCTATAATTTTTCTTTAGCGGAATTCAATTTCACCTGGTGATAGTAATAAGTATAGAAGATCCCCACATGAATTAGAATCTGATTCCAAGAGAAGGAAAGAGGATAAACATGTAAGTTTCAAAATTAAGTAAATATATAAGGTTGTCAAATATCTCCCTTCCGCCTTTTTGTATTATAAACCAAGAGCAAAAAAGCGGAAGGGAGATATTTGACAACCTAATATTTATGATTATATTTCAGCATAATGAGTAAAATTCAATTTTTTTTTAAATTACAGGACAGTGATGGTGAAAAGAGCGACCAAGATTTAGTAGTTGATGTAGCTAATGAGGTAAGAAAAAAAATATTTGTACTAAAAATTGAAATTAAAACTCCAGCAATAAGATTTAAAACAAGTTGGAGAAGTATTAATTTAATGTCTTTGCCAGATCTTAAGTGTCTCAATCAAATTGGTCTAAAGATCTTTGGTTGATTACTCGTCTTAAAACTCAAAGATTTACAGTGGTAGCTCGAATATTGTATTTTGATTCTTTTATTGATGTTGTTTACTTTATACCTTTTCTATGCCAAGTTTTGTAGTTGATTTTGATCTGTCTTGTTTTTACAACATCTTACCAGAATTATTGACGAAAATCTATTCATTAGAAATAATAGAATTTTAAAAAAAATGCAAGAATGTACAAAGAAGTTTACTAATAACGTTCTTTTTAGAACTTTTCAATGTATTTTTTGTTTCATTTTCAAGCTTCATTCACTAGAAATCGCTATAATCAATCGATTTCTTCAAAAATTGCAAATATGCTGCCAGAAAAATTGACCAAAATCCATAGCTTTACCAATAACCATCCTTGACCAAAATCAAATGGTTGATTTTGATGATCATATAATATCTGCTATGGAAAAATAAGAGTTTTATTCTAGTAAATGTAACATTGACTTTAATATTTTATCTTTGTAGTTTTCCAAAGATTTTGGTCAATTTTCACTCTCTAAAATTATTATGTTGTTCATACAAAAATACTTCTGGTGGTGATTTTATGAAAAGTACCCTCAAATTTAATACTTCATATCAATTTTTTATTTAATTTTTTTTATTTAGGAGTCAGCTTCTCCAAGACCAAATGGAGACATACCACTAGATGCCAGAGATGGAATGAATGGTCTTAGTCGTGATAAAAATTTAGATGAAAGAAGTAAAACTAGTGATAGACCTCCTTCGAGATCTGGAAGCAGCTCGTCGAGGTCGACGCCTTCATTAAAAGTCAAAGAGGTAAATAATAATAATAAACTAGTGGTGTATGGCATCGTGCCTTAAGGCAAATTGCTGGAACTTCCCGTACCGTAATGAAATATTCGAGAAATTTTAAACGTTTTCAAATATATTATTACAAATACTGTAACTTTCATTATTTTTGCTATCTTGGTATATATGAGTAAGCAAATCAAATGTATATCATAAATCAATTTATATCCAGAACTCCATTAACAATCGTCATTACATTTCGAATTACATTTCAAAAAAAAAATGTTGCCTAATTTGCACAAAATTAAAAAAGTGCTCCCGTATAGTCACAGTCTAAACGCATTTGCAAATAATTTTGTCCGACATTCTCACTTATACTGTGCTTAGGTAGCGGCATTTTCACATTTTTCAACAGTTTTCGTTTTCACAAAATTGGAAAAGTGCTCCAACATAAACAGTCTAAATGCGCTTGGGTAAACATTTGTACCAGAGTGGCGCTTAGACTATGCTTAGCCTGGGTAATTTTTTAAATTTTTTATCCAAAGTTACAAAAATATTTTATGGAAAATAAAAAAAAGATGTTAGAATTTTTTATCGTCAAAAGCAATTGTTTTGTCAATACAAGCAGAAAGTTTTTTAGATCATTCAAATCGGACGCTTAGTTCACTCAAAAACTACCATTTTTTGCACATTTAGCTCCGTATCTTCGAAATGGCGGGACCTGTCTTTGCCAAAAACTAATCATCTCTTCTCCCAATCATTACGAATTAAATGTTTTTTAGATCATTCAAATCCGATACTCTATTCTTTCAAAAACTCGAGTATTTTCTGCATTCTTTGCTCCGTATCTCCGTAACGGCTGGACCAGCCTTTGCCAAAAACTAATCAGCACATCTCCCTATTAATAGGAATCGAATGTTTTGTGAAACATTCAAATCGGTTGAGCCGTGCGCCCAAAAACGTGAACGAAAAAATGGGGACACTCAAAACACACACACAACCATTTAGTTTCTGAGGTATGCCTTTTAAAAATGTTCAGAAACCTTCAAAACGTCGAGAAATGCAAAAAATTTTATTTTCGATTTTCGGCCCATTACTATAACTACCCTACGGGAAGAATTGGCATTGTAAAAAGTTTTTATTTTGGTAGAATATACAAGATTTTCATTGCTTGTCTAGGTTTTTCATGTTCTCCTTCACAAACAAACCTTTCAATTTTGGATTAATGGGTAAAATATGCACTACTGATTTCATTTGGACTTTGCAAAAGATCTATTGATCTATCATTTTTTCTAACTCATTCCTAAGATTGAGCATCAACAGAAACAAACTGTTACCAAAGTTTGCATTACCTTCACAAATCTCCTACCATCTCTTTCCCATAAATCAAATTTTAGCAAATTTTTCTTTTTATGTCTGTTTTCTATACCAAGTTTTTCAATTCATTTTGTTTCAAAAAAATGTATAGATTTAGAGGAAAGATTAACCAGAAATATTGACCAAAATCTATTTACCAGTATAATAGAACTGGAAAAAAAATTGTAGATTTCTTACAATTTCTTAAATGACAAACAAATTTTTCAATTTGGGTAAAATATGCGATCCTGGTAATATTTGGACTTTACAAAAGATTCATTGATCTATCATTTTTCCTAACTGATTCCAAAGATTGAGTAACTATTGATACAAACTGTTGCCAAGTAGGGTTTATACAAAAACCGACATTTCAGAAAACCGGTTTTCGAATTTTAATTTTACTAAAAAACGATTTTCGAATTTTATATAGAAAATAAATTTTTGCTCGAATATTCTGTAATTTATCCGCAAATTTAGTGTAATTTAGAGCAGTATTTGACTGAATTTGTTTATTCAATTTTATAGATAGTAAACAAAATTATTAACTTCCCGTAGGGTAAGTTATAGTAATCGTCCAAAAATCGAAATCAAAAATTTTTACATTTCTCGACGTTTTGAAGGTTTCTGAACATTTTGGCATACTTCAGACAAAATGGATGTGTGTGTGTGTGTGTGTGTGTGTGTGTTTTGTATGTCCGCTTTTTTTCGTCCACGTTTTCGGGCGCACGGATCAACCGATTTGAATGGTTTAAAAAACATTCGATTCCTATTGATAGGGAGATGTGCTGATTAGTTTTTGGCAAAGGCAGGTCCAGCCGTTACGGAGATATGGAGCAAAGAGTGCAAAAAATAGAAAGCGAATTTTTGAGAGAACGGATCAACCGATTTGAATGGTTTAAAAAACACTCGATTCCTATTGATAGGGAGATGTGCTGATTAGTTTTTGGCAAAGGTAGGCCCAGAGGTTTCGGAGTTACAGAGCTAAATTTAAAAAAAAATGGCTGTTTTTGAGAGAACTAAGCGTCCGATTTAAATGATTCAAAGAACTTTCTGCTTTTTTCAACAAAACAATTGATTTTGGAAAAAAAAATTTTTTGTTTCTAATTTTTTTTCAAATTAGTAATTTTGGACTAAAAATTCAAAAAATCACCCAAGCTAAGCACAGTCTAAGCGCCACTCTGGTACAAATGTTTACCCAAGTGCGTTTAGACTGTTTGTGTACTGGAGCACTTTTCCAATTTTGTGAAAATTATTGAAAAATGTGAAAATGCCGCCAAGCTGAGCACAGTATAAGTGAAAATATCGCACAGAATTATTTGCAAATGCGTTTAGACTGTGACTATGCGGGAGCACTTTTTCAATTTTGTGGAAATTTGGCAACTATTTTTTTTTTTTTGAAATTTGATTCGAAATGAAATGACGATTGTTAATGTTCTGGAGGTGATAAATTGATTTGTTTATAATTAACTTTCCGTAGGGTAAGTTATAGTAATCGCACAAAAATCGAAAATGAAAATTTTTATATATCTTTACGTTTCAAAGGTTTCTGAATATATTGGCATACCTTAGAGAAAATTGATGTATGTGTGTGTATGTGTGTGTGTGCGTGCATTTGTGTGTGTTCAGATACAAATTTTCGTCGACGATTTCGGGAATCGGGATGAAGCAATTTGAATAATTCAAAAACATTTTACTTGCATTATCAAGATGAAGATTTGATGAAATTTTTATGAAATTAGGTCTAGCGGTTTCGGAGATCTAGTAAAAAAAGTAAAAAAAAATAACATTTGGCGGTCAACAATAATCATTAGACATTAGACATATGCACATCAAATTATCAGATATTTTATAGAGATTTTAACAATGAGTATACATTTTGTTAACATTTCTATGGGTTCCGTACCAATGCTTATGCGTTAGACAGCGACGCGGCGCTTACGCGCTTCGATATTTAGTCTCTATGCATTAAAGCAGTACGATTGCTTTGAAAAAAAGTTCAAAATTTCCAAAATATTTCAAAATAAATTTTTCAACAAAAACTTTTGTCAAAAATTTATATAGTTCCTCAAAAATCTATTTTTTTTAGAGTAAATTTTTTTAAAAAATGTTAATCTTTTCAAAAAAAAAATAATTTTTGGTACGGGAAGTTCTAGCAATTTGCCTTAAGGCACGATGCCATGCGCCCCACTAGTTTTAATTTTAATTTGTAGAACTGAAAAATAATAGTTTATCTTGATTAAATAACTTTGAAAATAATTATTCGTTATTCAGGCATCATTTTCACATATAAGAATGAAAATATTTTTATGATAGTGAAAGAAAATTTTTCGAATGAATAAAAATAATACATTTCTAAATAAAAAAATCATTAAATTAAAAAAAATAAAAAATATCACATACATGTCGATACATACTTGTTAATATCAATTTTAGTTTTACAAATAATTAAGCTAAACTCGGATATTGTCTGTTCCGAGCAATTTTAATTAATTAATTTTTAAACATTCTAATTGTTCTTTTTTGTTTAATAAAATATGATTTCAAAAAACTGAGAACGTCTATCAAATTGCTACTTAGACGTGTCCTTTGTATACTCACAAAATTTCCTGAAATAGATTATACTCCCATACTTGCGACCAAATTATGGTTAATTGTTTTTAAAGCCTGATATAATTGTTCTAAGTTTTTGTTCTTCAATTTGTGACTTATAGGGTTTAAAACTTTTTTTTTTAAGTTTGAGTAGAGGAAGTTACTTCTTCAAGAAGTCACACTGATTTAAATTAAAATATACTCTGGTATAAAAATCTAAATTTATATATACAAAACCTTTCTGGGAATCATTGCAGAATGATGAGAAATCAAATGCTATTGAACCGATATGATTTCAAGAATCAAAACGCTTTCATCTATCTTTTATATTTGGCTATATTTGTCATTTTCCATTTATACAGTGAAAACCGACTTTTTTCATTAAACACCGATTTTCGAATACCATATTTTTTGCCAAAAAACCGGTTTTTGAAAACCGACAAACCCTATTGCCAAGTTTGTTTTAGAGATTGCTTAATATATTATTAGATTGTTAGCTAAAAACAGTGATTTTTTCCCAACTTTTCATTTTATTTTTTACTAGGAGAAACCAGGAACGCCAATAAACAAACCTCGCACACCAACACCAGGAAGTGCAAAAAGTGGCAGCGGATCTTACCCTCCATATCAACGCCCTGGAGAAAACCCTTACCAATCGCCTTATCACCAGGGCAGACCTTTGCCCTACGACATGACCAGGAATAACGGCATGGCGATTCCTCCAGGAAAAGCGTAAGTGATAAAAATAATAATCCTATAAATATATATATATATATATATATATATATATATAAATCTCGTGTCACGATGTTGGTTCGCGATGGACGCCCAAACTACTGAACCGATTCTAAATTTTATTGGCTCATCGTGTGCACATATATCCAACTTAGGTTATAGGAAATTTTGAAAAGTAAATTTAAAATATAAATATGTAATTTTTATAAAATTCTAAAAATTTTGACAGAAAGTGACCAAAAAAATTTCGATATATAATTTTTGAAATAGATTTACGATTTAGATTTAATAAATTAGCTTACCAAATTATTTCGGAAACCAAAACTTCATGAAAACATTATAGATCAGAGATCACAATAAAAAAAGCGGCATATTGAATTTAAAGTTAATCATAAACAAAATTTTGACATTTCACAAAAAATGTCACTTACTTCAATAAGAAGCAAATAAATTAATTATTCCAAGTAATGTTATAGGCAATATTGCCAAGCAAATTATAGATACAAAACATTATTGTAAAATAAATATTATCATATTATATTAATTTTGAACCAAGAAGGAAATATTTTGACATTTATAAATTTAGTGCATATTGCATATATGAAAATTGACATTCACTATTTTTCAATTAAATGCAATGTATAAAAACAAATATTTATATAAAAATTTATATATTTAGATAAAGATACTGCGTTGATTTAGACTAAAATTTATTTATTCTTAATTAAAAAAAAAAATTGACAAAATTAAAATAAACAAAACACTATGATGCGTTGGAATTATTTATCGGAGTGTAAAGAAATTTGTGTAATTAAAATATAATATTATTATTAATATATCAGTTAAGATATATTTTATCATTGGAATCTGACAAAAACAAACTAGACAAACTAAATATTATAACATATTATATTAAATTTTAACCAAAAAGAAAATATTTTGACAGTTATAATTAATTTGAAATAAAATGCAAATGTCAAAAAATCAGATCTTTATGTAAAAAAAATTATTTCCACAAATTTCCTGTGTTGATTTAGCCAAACTTATGAATTTAACATTTATATAATTATTCATTGATGATTTAAAATAATTATTAATTTGTTAACAAATAAATAATATTTGAAAGAAAATTTTATTGACATATATGACATGACAAAAGTATAATAAACAAAAAACTATGATGCGAGTGAATTAATTTTTGAAGTATGAAATATTGACAAATAATTTTGAAAATTATAACAAGTTTTTAACTATTTGTCAAAGAATCAGAGTCCAAATCAATTATATATTTAATTTTTGGCACTTTTATTCATTTTTTATCAATTTAGGCATATTTTTTATGGCAAAACAACGTTTGCCGCGTTAGCTAGTATATATATATATATATATATATATATATATGTTGAAAATGTTATATATATATATATATATATATATATTATATATTTTATATATCCTTTACCTTTTAGGGCCTATTCCTTCCACATGAACGGCGACGGTCTGCAGCCTGTTCCCTTTCCACCAGACGCCTTACTAGGACCTGGTATACCACGTCATGCAAGACAATTGAGCACTTTGGCACATGGTGAAGTGGTATGTGCGGTTACCATCTCGAATCCCACAAAATATGTGTATACCGGTGGTAAAGGTTGCGTTAAAGTCTGGGACATCTCGCAACCAGGGTGCAAGACGCCTGTTAGTCAACTGGACTGCCTGGTAAGAAAAATCAATTGATTGAAATTAATACTTTAAGGGGCACAACTAGTGTAACCGCCTAAAAAAGGTGATTTTTGGGAATTTATATCAAAAAAACTACTTTATCAATCATTTCGAAAGTTAGGAATATATTTACACTGTTTTAAGAATACATTGTAAAATTTTTGAAGAAAAAAATTAAATATTTTTTAAGTTATCGTCGATCTTCAACGCCGCGACAAAAAAAGGTGCTTCACTACTGCAGTGGTTCCGGCCTTCTACGTGGATGAAATTTAAAAAAAAAAAATCTTGTTAAACTAGAAAATATTGTCTGTAAAATGAACTACGATAAAGAAAAAAATCAAAAAGTGACAACATGACGGCGTTTTTTTTTCAAAAAAACGACTTTACCCAAAATTTTTCTTGTTTTTTTGGACTGCCAAAATTTGATTTTTGATCCGATCAAAAAATCGATAGTTCATTTTACGGAGAACTATATATAGAACATGGAAAAAAAATTCAATAGTGATCGGATCATTCGTTTTTGAGTAATCGCTGCAGCAAATTCGGAAAATGCTGTTTCGAGAAAAACGCGTTTGAAGATAAAATGATCGTTATACTATATACTATATACTCGTATATATGCTCTTTAAATGGCTGTGACTCAAAAACTATTTAAGATATCGATTTAAAATTTTGGTATGTTATTTTTAAAGGTATAACCTATTGAAATATGGAAAAATTGAAAATTTGATTTTTTAAAATTTCACACTAGTTGTGTCCCTTAAGGCAGAGTCCTTTATCTTAAGAGTCCTTTATCTGTTATAACAAATGATTTTTTGTCATATATTATTATCTGGAGAAAAAAGTATGATTTTTTAAATTTGTTCATTTTATTTGTATCATAGAAGTGGAATCAGAATTTAAGAATTTTATGAAGTGTTATGCAGGTATTTCTCATATAGTTTGCTTTCAAGAAGGCAACCCAATGGTTGACTTATTCATATTTGTTAATGCATTATTAGTACAAGTATAAATTCTAAGGCAAAGTCTATTTACACTTGTGAACATTTAAGTTTTTAAACAATTAATTTTTCACAGATTGAAAATTGTACTCACTTTACACTTGTAAACTAAAGTTTTATATAAATAATTTAAAAAAAACCTAAAATAACATTTTTACAATAATTTTGATTTATTTTATTATGTTTATAATTTATTTCATATCTCAATTCGACTTTTCTATTGCCAAATGCAAAATTTAGCCACAAATTAAAGTTCAAAATATTGCTTGATTTTTTTTTATTTTTTTTTTATTACTTTATATCAAGATTTTTATTTAATGAATGAAAAAACATTTGTTTTGTATTTTGTTTATATTCATTTTTCTGTTCAAATAAAAAGGGCACAGAAAATTATTCAATTAAAATATAAATCAACAAAAATTCACATGAAGTAGAAAGTTTTTTTATATCTTTGTTCAAACTAGAATAATTCTTTACAATTTAATTGACATTGCAAAATTTTTATCTAATGAATGAACAAATTTTGATTAATATATATATACTCTTTAAATGGCTGTGACTCAAAAACTATTTAGGATATCGATTTAAAAATTTGGTACAGTAGAACTCCAATTATCCGAACTCCGACTATCCGAATCGCCGATTATCCGAATCACTTTCAGAAAAAAAATGTCCAAAAAAAGTCTAAGTGCGCTATTATTCTTCCACCAGCAAAGCCAGTGTAGGCACAGATTAGGCAATGATTTTTATTTCTAAACTTGTGCATAAGTACATTTTATTTTTATTTAAAACATGTGAAAATGTCATGTTTCTTTCATTTAATTCAATAAAAAAATAGTGCAATATCAAAACGTAACTTTTTTTCTCTCCAATGGCAATTTTAAAAACAAAATCCGATTATCCGAATATTTGATTATCCGAATGGGTCATTAATTCGGATAATTGGATTTCTACTGTATGTTATTTTTAAAGGTATAACCTATCGAAATATGGAAAAATTGAAAATTCGATTTTTTGAAAATTTCACACTAGTTGTGCCCCTTAAAATAGATTTTACGAGTATATTTCCTGTGTATTGCAACTAATTTTTTATCATTTGTCTTTTCCCCAGCAACGTGATAATTATATTAGATCCGTCAAACTTTTACCCGATGGTCGAACACTGATCGTCGGCGGAGAGGCTTCTAATTTATCAATTTGGGACTTGGCAAGTCCCACGCCCAGGATTAAGGCCGAATTGACCTCATCTGCACCAGCCTGCTATGCCTTGGCCATAAGTCCAGATTCTAAAGTTTGTTTTAGTTGTTGTAGTGATGGAAATATAGCAGGTAATAAATAGATACATAATGGTGAAGACTAGGGTTTATACAAAAACCGACATTTCAGAAAACCGGTTTTCGAATTTTATATAAAAAATAAATTTTTACTCGAGTATTCTGTAATTTATCCGCAAATTTAGTGTAATTTAGAGCAGTATTTGACTGAATTTATTTATTGTTCATTTTTATATAGATAGTTAACAAAATTATTTTAATTTCAATTAGCAGAACAAAAAATAATAGTTTATCTTGATTAAATAACTTTGAAAATAATTATTCGTCATTCATGCATCATTTTCACATATAAGAATGAAAATATTTTTATGATAGTGAAAGGAAAATTTTCGAATAAATGAAAATAATACATTTTTAAATAAAAAGAATTCATCAAATTAAAAAAAATAGATAAATGTTGATACATACTTGTTAATATCAATTTTAGTTTTAAAAACAATTAAGCTTAACTTTTATTTCTGTTCCGACCAATTTTAATTAATTAATTTTAAACATTTTAATTGTTTTTTGTTTAATAAAATATGATTTTAAAAAATTTAGAACGTCTATCGAATTGCTACTTAGACGTGTCCTTTGTTTACTCACCAAATTTCCTGAACTAGAAAATACTCTCATACTTGCGAACAAATTATGCTTAATTGTTTTTAATGTCTGATATAATAATTCTAAGTTTTTTGTTCTTTAATTTGTGGCTTCTAGGGTTTAAAACTCTTTTTTTTAAGTTTGAGTAGACGAAGTTACTTCTTCAAGAAGTCATACTGATTTAAATTAAAATACTGGTATAAAAATCTAAATTTATATATACAAAATCTTTCTGGGCACCATTGCAAACTGGTAAGATATCAAATGCTATTGAACCGATATGATTTCAAGAATCAAAACGCTTTCATCTATCTTTTATATTTGGCTATATTCGTTTTTTCCATTTATATAGTGAAAACCGATTTTTATCACTAACAAACCGGTTTTCGAATTCCATAATTTTCGCCAAAAAACGGTTTTTAAAACCGTTTAATTAATTAAAATTGCACGGAACAGACAATACCCGAGTTTAGCTTAATTGTTTTTAAAGCTAAAATTGATTTTAACTAGAATGTATCAACATGTATCTATTTTTTTTTAATTTGATGCATTTTTTTTATTTAAAAATGTATTATTTTTATTTATTCGAAAATTTTCCTTTCACTTTCATAAAAATATTTTCATTCTTATATGTGTAAATGATGCATGAATAACGAATAATTATTTTCAAAGTTATTTAATCAAGATAAACTATTATTTTTTAGTTCTACTAATTAAAATTAAAATAATTTTGTTTACTATCTATAAAATTGAACAATACAAAAATTCAGTCAAATACTGCTCTAAATTACACTAAATTTGCGGATAAATTACAGAATATTCGAGCAAAAATTGATTTTATATATATAAAATTCGAAAACCGGTTTTTTAGTAAAATTAAAATTCGAAACCCGGTTTTCTGGAATGTCGGTTTTTGTATAAACCCTAGTTCAAACGTATTCTTAGAGAGCTATTATATAATCAGGCGTGTCTAAAAGATAAAAGTCGATAACAAAACTTACATTAAATACCCTTTAGATTAGTAGAGATTGCAACTGTGCACTCTCTCAAGCATTCAATAGTTTATTTTGCAGACAGCTTCTTTGTTATTTTGTTATTCATAAA